TCATTTAATGAGGTTGTCCCCTTTGTTTTCCATTAGATTTATGGCTAGCGACCATCATGTTATCATCTACTTTATGTGGAATATATACTGCAAAAATCTCTTGCTCTCTTCACTTCTCTCCTTTTTTTGTGTTTACAATTGTGGGATAAATTACAATTAAGAATTGCATGGATTTATACACTGACGAGTTCATCTTTTATCGTTTATAGCCAACCACCACTAATTCGTAGCATCCATTGGGGTCTTCTTATTATTCTTCATTCTAGACTTTATCGTAATGTTTATGTATGGCTTTTTTACGACCACCGTTTAAGATTGTCAATATCTTTGTGGCAACCTTTGAAGAGAATCACTATTTCAACAAATTATCGTCCAACCAGCTGCTCCCGACGCCTGCACCTACGACCAACCATTTCCAAACAGGGAAGATTTACTAAGACTCAATTCTTACATTTTTTAATATATAACTCAATTTCTACACATTTATATACTTACCTGTATACATCTCAATGCAATTGTTTCCGACACTCATGGAACTCAAACCCAGATAGAAAAACCAACAACGAAGCCAAGAGAGCTCGATTGGTCAAAAGCATGAGAAACAATCGACAACGACACCAAGAGCGTCTAATCGTTCAAAGACATAATGAAACAACCAACAACGACACTAAGAGCATCCGATCGGTCAAAGACGTAGCAAAACAATCGACAAAGATGTCAAGAGCATTTAATTGGTTAAAGGCATAACAAAACAATTGACAACAATGTCAAGAGAGTCTGGTCGGGAGCAAAACTCTTAACACTCCCCTCCGGGATGAGCAACTACAAGACTCTCCTCTAAGGCAAGCAACTACAAGACTCACCTATGGGACGAGTCCCCTTCGGGGCTTATTAGACTCCCCTTCGAAGCAAGCAACTCTACGACTCCCCTCTGGGGTGAGCAACTAAAAGACTCCCCTCTGAAGCGAGCATCATTAAGACTCCCCTCTGAGGCGAGCAACACTAAGATCCCCCTCCGGGGCGAGCATCTCACTACGAGAATTAATCATATTTGCGTCAGCTAAATCAGATGCAAACTGGACACAAATACGATGATATTTAAGGGATACCGTTGGATTTGAGTTCGATTTACATCCAATTTTTTTCATCGTTAAATCGGGGTCAGTAATTTTATTTGCGTGAAATATACGTTCAAATATTCTGAAGCAAATAATTTGCATTGGTTGTGGCGTCGTACTAGCGTCTAATTTGTTTATACGAAACGTGCGTCAAAATCTACGTCTGAAAATATCGAACAATAAATATTACGGTCAGATTACCACCGAATTTTTGTCAGAAAATATCGTATAACGTCGAAGTATTATTATAGGTTTCACGTAGGAATTTACATCAAAAAAACGGACGCAAATCCGACGCAAACTTGTAACACAAAAAAAGTTTATATTTTGACTATATTTCCACAACCTGCACAAAAATACATTCCACATCGCATACAACATTAAACAATAATCATATCACAGATGAAATCCTCAAAAAGTATCACTAATAAAAGGAATATAATGTCACAAATCGTCCAAAATAAGAATAGAAAAGTTAGTCAAAAAAATTATACAACAATTGTTCAACATAAAGTTTACAAATTAAGAAAAACATAAAAAAAACAACTCGTCATCTCCATCCTCTTCCTCCTCCTCCATTGAATATGTAGTAACCTAAAACCTAAACTGCAATATTTACATGCATACCAATGAACTCTTATGTATATACATACCTAGTTAACACCAAAACTTCAATTTATATCTACATATCACCTTGCTAAACGTTAAGAACTTTTCTCTATTGTTAGACTCCTTAAACAAGCTTACACAAAAATATCATTGGGGGTTTGCTTTTGTAGGTAGAACTATCAAATGGGGAGTTTCATACACTAGTGGAATGCTTTTGTAGATCCACATAATGAGAAAATTGATGTGTCTTAATTTTAAAGGCATGCTTTTTTCCATTAGTAGTTGACATCAATAATTTTTGGACTCTTGTGACTTCTTTGAGTAATTTCTTAATGCAGCTGGTACAGTTAATTATCTTACCTCACATTAAGTTTATTAATTTTAGAATGACAATTTACCTTTCATAACAACATACATTTTACAAGTTCTGATTTCTCACTATTTTATCCTTCTCTAACAGCTTTAGCTAAAATAAAATGATTAAATATGTATAAACATAAAATCTTAAGCTAAAGCTAAAATCTATATCACTCTAAACCTAAAATCTACGTTACTCTAAACCTAATCTTATGCATATACATTCCTAACACCTAAACTTCAAATGTTACATACATACAGCTAAAATCTTTTGCATATACATTCTTAACAACTGAACTTCAAATGTTACATGCATACTAAAATTTTAAAAAGAAAAAATGACCAAAGTTACCTTTTTTGATCGACTAGGTTGCGACGTATTTCGATGGCTGGAGGGAGGAACGCCGACCGGCGACTGCGAGGTGCGACGGCCAGCGATGAAGAGAGGGAGGAAAGGATTTTGGTGTCGCGGGAGGAAGGAGAGGAGACAAAGGCGTGGCGCGCGAAGAAGAAAATGAATTATAAGGAGGAGGATGGGGTTTTTAGGTCAATTATGTCAGCTTTATCATTTGCTTTGCGTCGGATTTCTCGACGATTTTAAGTATAGTTTTTGCATCAATTTATTGGACGCAAATACGATGTAAAAAGCGCTGCAACACCACCATTAATTTTATTGTTGTTTGTGTCGAATATTTAGACGCAAATTCGACGTAAATTTCGATGTTAATAGAAAAAAAATTAATTTTGCCACGAATCAGTCGTAAAATTCGATGCAAGTATATGCGTCAAAAGTTTCTGACGCTGATTAAATGCTCTCCTGTAGTTTCTCCAAGACTCCCAACAGGGGTGAGAATCTCTAAAACTTCCCTCGGGATAAGCAAGTACAAGACTCCCATCCAGGGTTAGCGATTACAAGGCTTCCCTCTGGGGCGAGCAACTTTGGGACTCCTATTGGTGATGAGTTTTAGGGTTGACGTAAGAACCTGAATCGAGCACGAAAAGTGTCTAGCATGAAGTATCGTTAGTAAATTATGTTTTCAAGGCTTGTTTGATTTATAAATTATTTTGTCCTTATTGCAGTTATCACTATCAAAGAGCAAAAAAAATTGGGAACTTAATATGTATACCCAAAAATGGTCTGTACGGATGTCAAGGCAATCTAGTAGTCAGCCACATCACTTTAATCGACCGATCAAGCTCTCTTCCTCGGCCACTTTATTTCGGTCGGTCGACTAACTTTATTGTTTGGCCAGCCAGATAGCCACACTAAAGCAACCATCATCTTCAAGAAATTCATATATAAACAACTTAATTTCTTATGTATTGAATGTCATCAGGACCAAAGCAAAGAAATATGGACCTGAAAGCTTGCATCGATCTTGAAATGATCCAACTTTCAAAATAGAAAAAGACTAAAATGTCCTTTATTTCTCTCTTCAAAACATGACCAAATATATAATTTTTGTATATATTTTATCTATCCTATCTTCTATAACATAAATTATAAAATTCATTTGCACCTAACATTTATAACATCTAATTTTATGGAAGAAAATGGGTCAATGAGCCCAGAACACCGCATTTCCCCCTGACCGGGGGATGTCCTCCTCTTCTCTCTCTCTCTCTCTCTCTCTCTCTCTCTCTCTCTCTCTCTCTCTCTCTCGCTCTCTCTCATTTCTCTCCCTCTCTAGACCAACTCTCTTTGATCCAACACCTCATTCCTTGGACATGATATACCTGATAAATTTAGATTCAACAAGCTTGGATGCCATAAAGTCAACCAAATAAATAAGTGAAAAAGAAAAGCATGATAATAAGACAGAAGCTAACTATCTCTACGGAGACTTCCTCTGAATTTGAGCTAAAATGCTCTCAAGACTGAATTCTATGAGCGTAACTAAATTGAATTCGAAATGATTTTTATAGGAAAACTAAGAGCCCTCACAGTTAGCACATAGTGCATGTTTCTCAATAATTCATACTATCTAGGCTAGCCATATGTACAAATCTTCAGGAATTTGAGTTCCTCTTTCAAGAAAAACTTAAAAGTTCCTCTTTTAATCCATAAAACTAATGAAAGAAAAACCCATGCTCGGTTAGATTTACAATCACCTAAGCTATAATTCTCGTGCATGCTATCAAAATCTCTCCTCTTCTATAATTTTTTATTTAATATTCTACTTTTTTTTTTTTTTTTTTAAGTTAGAAAAAATATTACATCAGGACTCCAAACGTAGAGCTACGTTTGGATTGCAATAGTTAGGAATATACCGCTGTGTTATAGGAATATTCAATCTGCATTATTTGTAAAAAATAAATTATTATTCGACTATTATACGGTGTTATTCAATTATATTGCGGTATTATTATAATATTCACCCACATTATTTGATTTGAGGTTGTGTTATTCAACATATTCCTCATGTTATTTCAATTTCCACTATGTTATTGAAGTAACGCAACCTCAAATCAAGTAACGCGGGGGAATATTCTAATAACAATTCAGCTCCAAATCAAGTAACGCGGGGGAATATTTCAATAACATCGCAAAATAATCGAATAACACCATATAATACTCGAATAACACTTCATTTTTTACAAGTAACGCATATAAAATATTACTGTAACACGACGAAATATTTCTAAAATTATTGCAATCCGAACGGGGATGTAATATTTTTCCAAAAAGTTGAGCCCAAGGGAAACCTTGGATCTCACAAGCGGAAAATCAAACCATCTACATGCCTCTTTTTCACCCTATTGTGCCCTATGAAAATGACTGCACGAAATTTTCAGCGCACCTGTCAGCCTATGATAAAGCTTTCCTTCCTAGAATTTTCGTCAACACATATTCTCCATGGCTGCCACCCAATTCTAATAATTAAACCCTACCTAACTGCTCTCCTTTCCCCACCTCCGCTCGAAAAGTAGTACGTAGCAGAAGAAAAACTATTTCTACCCTTCTAATACATCCACTTCTTAAATCCCAAAGCTTCTCTCAATCTGCATCCACCGGAGCCATGTAAGCCAGTTATTGCTTGAGCTTTTATCAGTTGTATCGATTCACTCCTTTCATCTCTTCTATTTGTAATTTGAGTTCTACTTCGTCTAATGATTGTGCGTAGTTTTATAAAAGAACAAGTAGATATTTTATGTAAACCTGCCTAATTAATCTGCCTTAATTTGTTGCTCTTTTTTTAGTCTGGTGATTTGCAGCTGCTTTTGATGTGTGATTGAGCTTTCTAGGGCTGTCCAACCATGCATGAAATAAGTAATTTAAGGCTTATTTAAGCTGTAAAATATATTTGTTCGGAAATTTTGAATGAAATTGTACTGAGAAAATTTGTACTGCATGCATCATGCATGGTGGTATCAGAGAAAAAGACAAGATTAATGATTAAATCAGATCTAGAGAATCCCTTTTCTTCTTACTTCACCAGATCATAGTTGGCTGTAGTTTCCAAAGAATCTCTCTCTAGTATGGTTCTTTAGTGCCTTCAGACATACACATGCATAACAGTATGAATCACATCATGTCCTACACGTCATCAATCATATGTCTAGTTTATTATACATAATATTCTCTCCCTCTTAGAAATGGCTCGACATATAATCTCTTTAATGTTTTTTCAAAAACTAAAAAAATAAAAAAGCTCAAAGTTCTAGACAATGTTATTGTTGTATTGCCAGGACAAAAACTAACAGTATGTATAGGAAGACGAGCCAGGAAGTGAAAGGGGGAGATGATGAACAAATTCCAGCCATAGTCATCCCCAAAGATGAATACGAGTGGAATAAATACGGACAAAAGCTCATTAAGAGGATTGGTAACAAGTATCGGTACGTTTTATAATCTCCCTATACACATATATATATATATACTTATGTAACAGATAAACATTTAATTGCATGCATGCATGCGTGCAGAAGTTATTTCAAGTGTAGGAAGAAGGATTGTGGTGCGAAGAAGAAGGTGGAGTGGGCTCCGAGCAATCCCAGCAACGTCAGAGTGTTATATGAAGGAGTTCACAACCACCAACGCTACATCATTGATTCAGATCCAGTTGATCTGGCAGCAATGATTCATGCAAACCAGTATGATTTAGTTACTCAGATCTTCGGAACCAGAAACTAATTAATTACATATATACTGCATGCTTATACTTCAAATATTATTTCTTGTGTTTGTGTGTTTGTATGTGTCTTATGATTGTATTTTGTGGTGAGTTATTAATGTTGTTGAATGTTAGTATATTATCCTGCAGTTTTCAATAGGAGTTAAGCACTAATTAAGTTGGCTATCAGAAAAAGGTTTTGTTCATCAACAATGTTTTCTATTGCATTCCTTTGATTTGTCAATTTTGTAAGTCATTAATTGGTTTGGGAATAGTTGGCACATTTGTTAGATCACATAAAGAGCAAATGTTGAGCTTTGATAATAGCATACAATTACTAAATTATTGGCATACGCTAGTATATAAACGATAGGTGATCGAAATGAAATGAGTTTATATGTTTGATTCTTAATGTCTAAATCATTTTTGCGACCAAATAGGCATCAATGCTCGGAGGCCACAACCCTAACTCATTATTGTGAGCCGAAGGCCTTAGACACATTTTGTGCTTCACAATCCCTTCCATTTCCTTGGCTTCACAAAATTATGATGGTATCAAGTACACCCATTTGACCTCATTGTCCTAAGCAAAGTTTTAACCAACACACATCCATCTACCTCTACATACTTATTGGTTCATATATATACATTTGCTTGATGCAAATCATTTATAATTTTAAATATTCTTTAATATCACATAAAAAAATAGCATTGTCAAATACACATTTTCATGTATAGATTTAAAACACCAAATTAAGTGCAATGTATGTAAATATGGAAGTACTTTAGGAGTGATAAATGTAAATACATAAAAATTGTGTGCTACAATTGTAAATTTCCCTAATTATTTTTTTTTTCTTTCTTTACAAACACATTGAAATTTAATTTTATTCATTTGAAGAAGAACATGATTCTTTTATTCTTGTAATTAAGTAAAGTATTGAAACCAAATAGCTTTTTTCTATTAACCAACTAAATTTAGATAATTGATTGATTATGATTAAATTCATTAAAACTAGAAGATTTTAGAAGATGGGATTTACCTAATGAAATTTAACCCCTGTTTTTTTTCCTTTTAAGTTTGATTTAATTATGCTAAATAGATAAAGATAGTATGGATGGTTGCAAGCATATATGTAGTTAAGTTAATGTGTAAATGTAATTAAGATTTTTATGATAAACTAATAATATGCATATATTTGAGAGTCTAGTTTTCATGTAAGATGATGAATAATAGTTTATTTTAAAAAAAGGTTGATGATGTAACTTTTTTTTAATGGCTAATTTTTATGCCTTTTATTTTCAAATGATTAATGGTGTGCATTTGTTAAAAAGATAATGGAACACCTTTTATTTTTAAATAACTGATTGTGTGCTTGCATTTGTTTTTATAGCAAGTTCTTTATTTCTAGTTTGCATTTACTTGTTACTTGATATTTTGCAAAATTCGATGTGTCTAAAAATTCCTGATTATTTATATTGACATAATTAGAATTCTTCCTATGTTTTGGGTTTAGTCAGTTAATCATTATTTAAAACCAAAATAGCATATAGAGATTAAAATTCATAATCTTCCAGTTAATATTGGGGTTTGTGATTAGATTTTGAGTTATGATGCTAATGATAGAGACAGAGTACAAAGAAACTTACTTTTTCTCATGCACTGATAAACAATGTTGTAAGAAGATTTAATTTAAAATAGTTTGGGTATCCAAATTGGTTAGAGTATAGAGTGAAAATGAATGCAATGTATTATCGTTATTGTTATCCAATTAAGACTCAAGAATAAGTTGTTATAACTTAAGAAGATTGAGATTTATTTTTTAGTGAATCATTCAAAAATTGGAAAATAAAGAAAAAAGTGTTTGGCACTAATAATACATATAATAAACAAGAAAAAAGTATGTCGATTTAAAAAACTCAAATATAGTGTACTTCTACTATGTAGTTGAGTAAGTATGATATAATTAAAAAAAGGAACATGTTGAATGTAGCTCTTGATTGTGTTTGATTTCTTCTAGGATAAGAATTCTTATTTTATGGTTATAATGAATTATCTAAATTAGGTAATCAACTTAATTATTTTGAGTTACTTCTATTTATTTTGAACCATAATGAAGAAATAAAAAAAATTTACATATTTAAAAATGCTGGTACAAAAATTACAATTGACTCCACGAAATATTCAAAAAAAAAAAAAAGTCATGTTATTGCACCTGAAACCTGAGCATCCATTCTTAGAGATATAGTTGATTCTTACTTCTCTATTTAAGTGGGTGAGTCTTGTTATGTGTCAATAAAGAAATAATTAGTTGTAGACAGATATGTTGTTAAAATGGGGTAAGTTATTGAAAGATTTTTGTGTTAAATATATTTTTTCAATAAGTTCAGTTGCGCTTAAGATAGCTCTTGAAATTTGAATCCATATTTGCAAAATATTCATTAAGCTTACATATGACATGGAATCTTTTGACTTTATCTTTATAGTATATTTAATGATTGAAATTTTAGAATTTATAAATGAATTTTCATACTCTTTACAAACAAAATATCAAGATATAGAGAATACAATAAAGTTGGTGCAAGTATCAAAACAACATTAGTAGATAATGAGATAGAATGTTAATGATGTTTTATTGAAAGAGATGACTAATTTTTTTATGATTTTGAAATTGTGATTCTAAATATGAACTCTACATTTAAGGCCAATCTAAGATCAATACAAAGAGATAAAAAATTACAAGTTTGTATCATTATCTTGATGAGTTATCCTATATTGTGATTGACATATAACTTCAAGAGCTGAATAATTATTTCTCTGAATTAAATCTCGAGTTACTTCTTTATGTGGCATGTCCAAAGTCAGGTGATTCATTCTCTACTTTTGATACAAGAATGTTGATTCGCCTTCCAAAAATATATCCTAGTGATTTTTTCTAAAGTTAAGTGCCTTACTTTTGATGATCAATAATCCATTTATTAATTATATGCACATTAGTTATGATTTCTCATTTTTACATGACATTATTAATCTTGCAAAATAACTTATTAGAGCCAACAAGAATTGTGAACATCAAATTCTAACTACAAACTAATTATCTTGGCATTAATTTTATAAATAATATACTTAGATTCATATTCTTAAAATAATTCTTCCTAAAATGAAATAGCAAAGTTAAAAAAAACAATTCTTCTCTCGCATACTGGAAAAATTATTTCATACGCATGGGGTGTCTGATCTCCACCGTTGATCACAACGAAGATATATTTCGGTGGGCCTCATTTTAATTAATATTTAAAAAAAATGTTGTGATCAACGGTCAAGATCGGATACCGCATGCATTTTTGCATGCAATGTCCATATGAAATAATTTTTCCGGATATTGAGCTTGTATTTGTAACCTAAATACTTTTCGGGCGTTTACATGCATACCACACAGTTTTTATATTTTTACATATCTAACTCCTAAACATTCATATTTACATCCACACCACTCAAATCTTAACATCAGATCCAATGATCCAAATACCACCATCATTATCATTTTAGAATTGAAATACAATGGCTTCTCATGCATAAGTCTATGATGCCAAAATGTTATAAGTGTAAATATCAAATTTTGGGTGTTAGATATGTAATATATAAGAATTATGTGGCAAATGATATATATGCAAATTTACTAAGGTAATTATCTTTCACGAACAACTAATGGTGTGCATTTGATTCATTAGAATAATTTATTTTACAAAATTAGTAAAAAACTAATTCTTTTTTATTGTAAAATTTGGAAATTCAAATTGATCAAATTATGTTGTAATTGGACTAAAACGAACCAAAATTTAGTTTGATATAATTGGTTTAATTTTAAAAGAACCGAAATGCAATTAATTTTTAAAAAAATACAATTATTTTTTGCTTAATAAGGGCCTGTGTGGGCCAGCTTATAAGTGCGGCGGCGTTTTACCGTTTAGTTTGCGCGTTTTTGAAAACTCAGTCTGCCTCGTTTGGGTTTCAGGATAAGTTGTTTATCCTGAAATGCACAAGCTGGCCCAAACAGACCCTAAGTATGCGTTAAAAAGAATGTCAAATATTAAGTGCCAAAAGTCATAACTTTGAAATTTAAAATAAATAATATCCATGTTGATTTTCTTAGAATTTATTTATTTATAATTAAGGAATATATATATATATATATATATATATTATATTTGAAGAATCTAATAAAATAAAATCAAATCAATAATAAAATGGGGCATTTACATCCATGCCACTCAACTCCAATGTATTTACATCTTTAACAGCTCAACTTTATTTTTTTTACATTTATGCCATCTAACTTTTATAATTACATAAGAAAATATCACTATGCTAACTTAACTTAAAAAGTGAATATACCTTTTATGCATAAGTGACATATATGTAAAAATTGAAGTTTAAAAACAGCTGCAGCATAATTATTTTCAAAATGCCTAAAACACACAGACAACCTGCTTATCCGCAGCAACTTATAACATAACAATTTATTATTAAACTGTAACTGTGTCAAATGGACCCTATGGAGTAGATATGCAAATACATAAAAATTTAGTGGTATAAGTGGGCAATTTCATTGAAATAATGCATGTCATTATATATTTTTGACAAATAAATGGATAAAGGAGATGAGCTTTTCGTTTTTTTATTTGCTTCTTCATGCAATCAATGGTCAGGGACGTCTTTTCGCTCCGCCATTGATTGGTGTGGGCCCCATTTCTCTTGATTAATTTTAATTAATTTCAAACTTTATAATAAATAAATAATAAATAAATAAATAAATAAATAGATAGAGGGTTGAAAATGTCAACCATTTTTTGGCTACGTCTATGCATATGAAAGATGGCAGGCATTTAAAAACTAAAGTTTAATTGTTATATATGTAAATATATAAGGATTTACTGCGTAAATCATTCTTCTCAAAAATAGTATTGGGTTCCCCCCATAATGATAAATCTAATTACACAATTTTAAGGTCATTAAGAAACTTAAATGCTAAAACGATGATTTATGATTAATGAAATCAATAAGAACCATCTGATGGAATGTTTTGATATAATTTAACATAATATCAATCTAAAATTATAAATAAACTTATATTTTTTACATATGAAAAAAAAGGTGAAAGTTGAGGGCTAAATCTAAACCAGTGAAAAGACTAGAACCTCATTA